TTGGATTCTTTTAGTGTTTTAGATAAGTTTCAATCTGGTTTTAGATCATTACACAGAACTGAGTCAGCTCTATTAAGAGTTACAAAGGACATGCTGCTTTCTCTGGATTCAGGTGCATGTGTTGTGTTGGCATTGTTGGACCTGAGCGCAGCATTTGACTCCATTGACCATAGCATTCTTCTTGATCTACTTGAATGTGTGGTAGGTATTCGAGGCATTGCATTTAAGTGGTTTGCCTTGTATCTCGAGAACAGGACTTTTTCTGTAAATTTAGGATTTTTTTTTCTCATCCACTGAGTCAGCTCTATTGAGAGTTACAAATGACATGCTGCTTTCTCTGGATTCAGGTGCTTGTGTTGTGTTGGTATTGTTGGACTTGAGCGCAGCATTTGACACCATTGACCATAGCATTCTTCTTGATCGACTTGAATGTGTGGTAGGTATTCGAGGCACTGCATTAAAGTGGTTTGCCTCGTATCTCAAGAACAGGACTTTTTCTGTAAATTTAGGAAATGTTTTCACTTCCGCTGCACCTGTCTTGTGTGGAGTGCCCCAGGGATCCATTTTGGGACCTTTACTGTTTTCCCTTTATATGCTTCCCTTGGCCCAGATTTTAAAAAAAAAATACAGTATTTCATATCATTGTTACGTGGATGATTCTCAGTTTTATCTACCAATAAGGCTTGATTCTGCTGTCTCATTTGATGTATTATTGAAATGTGTACATTATATTAATACATGGATGTCTAATAAAAAAAGTTTGGGTCAATAAGTTTTTCTTTTATTCAGCTGCATTAAATTGATCAAAAGTTTTTTTTTTTACTTTCTATTAATAATTAAAAAAAATTCCATCATGGGTTCCACTAAATTATTAAACGTAACAACTGTTTTCAACATTGTTAATATTAAGAAACATTTCTTGAGCACCAGATCAGCATATTAGAATGATTTCTGAAGGATCATGTGACACTGAAGTCTGGAGCAATGGCTGCTGAAAATTCAGCTTTATCATCAAAGGAATAAATCACATTTAAAATATGTTAAAATGAGTGCTGCCAAACGATTAAATTGCAATTAATCGCATCCAAAATAAAAGTTTTTGTTTTCATAATAAATGTGTCTGTACTGTGTATATTTATTATGTATATATAAATACACACAGATGCATGTATTTATTTAAGAAAAATGTTACGTTTATATATTAAATATATTTATATATGATATA